GATCCAAGGTTGTTTTTTCATTAAAAGGAGAAGATGTCCCATCAATTAGTACACCAGACGGAGGATTTGGTGCCCCAACATTTGGTGGTATATTCCTTTGAGATGATAGACCTTGATCAAAGGTTGGTTTTTCAATAGCAGGAGAAGATTTCCCATCAATTATTACGCCAGATGGAGGACTTGGTGCTCCTATGTCTGGTGGTAGTACCTTTTGAGATGAGAGGGCCTGATCTATTGTTGGTTTTCTATTAACAGGAGAAGCTGTCACATCCATAATTTCACCAGTTGGATGACTTGGAACTTCATTGTCTGGCAGTATTGACCTCTGAGATGATTGGCTTTGCCTCAATGTTTGTTTTTCAATAACAGGAGAAGATGTCCCATCAATAAGTACAAAAACCGGAGGACTTGGTGCCCCCACGTTTGGTGGTATAGTCCTTTGAGATGACAGACCTTGATCAAAGGTTGGTTTTTCAATAGCAGGAGAAGATTTCCCATCAATTATTACACCTGAAGGAGGACTTGGCGCTCCTATGTGTGGTGGTAGTGCCTTTTGAGATGCGAGGGCCTGATCTATTGTTGGTTTTCTATTAACAGGAGAAGCTGTCACATCCATTATTTCACCAGTTGGACGACTTGGAACTTCATTGTCTGGCAGTATTGACCTCTGAGATGATTGGCTTTGCCTCAATGTTTGTTTTTCAATAACAGGAGAAGATGTCCCATCAATAAGTACAAAAAACGGAGGACTTGGTGCCCCCACGTTTGGTGGTATAGTCCTTTGAGATGATAGACCTTGATCAAAGGTTGGTTTTTCAATAGCAGGAGAAGATTTCCCATCAATTATTACACCTGAAGGAGGACTTGGCGCTCCTATGTGTGGTGGTAGTGTCTTTTGAGATGATAGGCCCCGATGCAAGGTTGGTTTTTCATCAACAGAAAAGTATTTTCCATCAACTATTACGCCAGTTGGAGCACTTGGTTCTCCTGTGTCTGGTGGAAATGCTTTTTGAGATGAGAGGCCCTGATCTATTGTTGATTTTCTATTAACAGGATAAGCTGTCACATCTATTATTTCACCAGATAGATGGCTTGGAGCTTCAATGTCATGCGGTATTGTCCTTTGAGATGATAGGCTCTGATCCAAGGTTGTTTTTTCATTAAAAGGAGAAGATTTCCCATCAATTAATACACCAGATGGGGGACTTGGTGCCCCCACGTTTGGTTGTATAGTCCTTTGAGATGATAGACTT